GATTTTTGCTGACATCCTCTCTTAATCGTCTTAGACCAGTTCGTTCCATCTTTTTTTCTATTTTTATTTTTCGTGGTCTCCTTAGCATAATGAGATAATAACTTTTCTATTCCAGGTTCTTTTCTTGGGCTGTATCTTTGGTTATCTTGTGATCCTGATATTCTACAAGTGGATAGCTTTCAATGTCAATAGAAAAACTGTAAGTAAGAGACTGTTCATTTTTTTACAGGCATAGGGGTGTGGGGGAAAAGGTGTGGTTGGGGGAGGGGAGGGGGATTATTCTTGGGTTGCCCCCTTCAAATGCCATATTTTTTTGCATGGGCCCCTCCTAAATCCCACCCCCATATACCCCTAGAAATGGACGATCCATAATGACAGAAAGATCCCCCAAAAGCCTGATGTAGCATTGTTGAGTTCCTATGCATGATGTCGGTAGGGTATCAGGTGTGCATCAATAGGCTGTCTGTACGACGTTGGCAGCTTGACAGTGAGATTGCAGGAATGTAGGAGCCAAGGGGGCTGGGGGGGGGCTTACAGTATAATAGCCCCCCACTTTTTTGAGAAAGGATTTTTCAAATTTACTGTTCTTATAATTCTAAAGAGAAGAACAACAGATTCCAGCAGGCATGCGCTTTCTAACTTTTTTCAATGTAACCTACGCTTCTACGTTCCTGGGTTGTTGTCAGTAGATTATTGGTTAGTTATTAATGGTAGGTTGTTGTTGGGTGGACAGTGACAGAGAAGAAAAACGACAAGGCTGCTACTTTCGCAATTTTTTTCATCTCTCATTCATGCTAAAAAACGTTTAGTGTTTCATTCGTGTCTCTTGTGCTTTAAGCTCTTTACAAAATTCTGCTATCCTCGAGCAATTCTACTTCGAGGTATTAGCGAAAAACATTAATGTTAGTTTTTGTGCTGATCAAAATATCATCTTTCCCAACGTTCAGGGCGTTATATCTCAAATACACATTCCTTAAATTTCCCCAAATTTTGGTATTTTGTTAATCAGCCCCAAAAGAGCCTGTTTATGAAATATAAAGCTTATTAATGCATAAACGTCGAAAGTAGAACCCGTTTTTCTGCCCTGTCGCAGACAGTATGTAAGTTGAGAACCCAACTAATCCAATACTCTTTCTCAACTTGTATTTTTACAGTGTCCAAGTCTGCTTTTGGCAACCATCAACATGTTTTTGAGGTTTGGAAAAAGTATCGAAGGTAAAGACTCGCTATATTCAGGACAGGTAAGAATGACATATCTTACACTCCTTGTAAAACTATTTCATATAAGGTTGACAGAGCCAAAGGAGATAAGCAATAGTAGATTGATGATTCCAACAACACTTCTTACAC